CAAAAAAAAAAAAAAAAAGAAAAAAAAAAAGGAAGAGGGGGAAGAATTTTTTACACAAATTTTAGTTCTATTTAAAAAATATAAATAATAACTTCTTTTTTTGGGTAGATTAAATTAAATCTTCAATAATTAATTTTCTTGAAACATATTATCAAAAAAAAAACAAATAAATAAATTATGGTTCATTAACCCTATAAGGTTCCATGGGATGATTTAATTACATATTTGGGAGTCCCTGTTTTTCAAATCTTAGATACATATAGACATTAATTACTTTTAATAGACTATAATTTTCAAATTCATACAATCAATAATTTCAACATGAAATCTGCTTCAAATATACAATAATGATCTGTTAATGTTTAATAATGTTTAATACATCATACATACTCCAAAATAAGTCATATATACAATAGCTACATCAGTAGCATACTATCTACATCAAATAAAAATGATCCTCTCCTCCTGGTTCTTTTTCCTTTCCTTTTCCTGCGATAGTACAAAAGCAACTATCGCTAAGCATATGGCTTAGTGGTGTACTATTTTTTTTTTCTTTTTAACAATAACGAATTATAATTCATAAACCACCATGTTAAAGGAAATAAAGAAAACATAACAATACCATGAAATCATAAATTCATAATGTAGTCTTTACAGCTTTTATAGAGTCAATTCCGAGGGCCATCAATGTCTAATGTGCACATCTAGACCTGCTATCTACAACCTCAATCTGTGATATTATTTCAACAGAAGAGGGAGCAATATACAACCTCAATCTGTGATATGATGTTAACAGAAGAGGGAGCAATCTACAACCTCAACATGGAGGGAGAATTTCATATCAATCATATATCATCTAGTGATGATAGCCATGTTCAATCGATCATAATATCATCTTCAACAAATGAAATGATATTCGGGGTAATAACCATGTCTATATCAGCTGTAAGACTTTTAAACCATTCCATTTATGTAATAATATGAAAATCACAATGGACAACATTTCATTTCACAACCACTGCTAAAAACAGCCAACGTCCTCCCTCTTCAAAACAGTATAAGAATCATAAAATTCATTTACAAATATCATTCCGTCGTATGCTTTCAAAAATAATCTTTTTTTTCCCTCTTTTAAAATTAAAAACTTATGAATATAATTATAAATTCATAAAGCAAATCATTGAAATATTTTGGCAAAATCAATTTCACCATTGTGTTCATTTTGTTTAAATAAAAGTAGGAAAGGAATAATAACACTAACCTGAACTAGATGGCTCCCCTAGCCCTTTTCCTCTAGTAATCACCCTCTCCTCAACTCCCTTTCTCTCAGAAGCTGTAGCATGATATTAATACTCACATTAAGATCATACTACACAATGTAAACACATGCACTTCTATAGGAATGTAAATTAAGCATTAGAATGTAGTATCATGCTTTTTCTTTCATTTTCACTATGCTTGTCCAAGTGTTATATGATCTGAGTTTAAGCATGAAACACTTCATATCCAACACTTAACCACACCCTAGACACAGAATAACAACAATGAAAACAATAGAAGTCAATAGCATGCTAAATTCGTTCAATGTTTATGAAATGCAGAATTTCAGCATTTGAGTAGCTTGTATTCCATTGATTATATCTGGACTTCCTCAAATTCATTTGCCCTGAAATTTTTACAGCATGTTCCCAACATCTTAGGGTACTTCCCTGTAAAATTTCATAATTTTTAAAGCTCATTTGCATTATTTTTAGCCTCTTCTGGGCACTTATGACATAATTATAGAATCTGAAGTTCAGTTTTTCTCATGGTGAGCAGCCTGTACTAATTTAATTATAACTCCATTTCCTTTTATCCAATGGCCTTCCCCTTTTACCACGACCTACCCAACATCTCAGCCTATCTCGATGTAACTTTTCATGAATTTTGAAGTTCATTTGTTGAGCCAAATAGGTCAATTACTGAAGCTGAAGTTCAGACAGCCCAACTATAACAGGTCTAACAATGATATATTTGCTCAAGCATTCTCAACTCACTTCCAGCACAAATTCATGCAATTCAACTCTTCTATTACTTACACAACATCATAATATAAGATATATCAGAATCCTAACATCATAATATAAGATATATCAGAATTCCTAGGTCATGGCATATCAAGTACAAACTCAAAATCATCCATCTTGGTGACTTAAGCAACTTAGACTTTGAATTCATGCATAACTACTTTCAATCATCTTAAATCACCTTAAAATCACTTCTCATCACTTCATCTTCAGCAAATCAGATTACACAAACAAGCACCTCACTTCAAAGTTCATGGAATTCAAAAAGTAGTCCATAGAAATGAAGGAGGAAGTGAAAATAACTAACCTTTTCTTAAGAAATACTTGAAAATTCTTTGCACGAAATTACTTGAAAAATTTCCTTTGATTTTCCAACCTTCTTTTTGGCTTGGTTTGACGTCAAAACCCTCCTCCTCCTCTTCTTGAAACGACCTGAATTGCAAATTGGGTGGGTAAGTGGTCGTGCTTCTCTTCACTTCTTTCATAAAAATTATATAATACTTTAATTAAAAAATTTCCTTCGGCATGTTCCTTTAATTGCAAATTGCACTATAATCCTCCTTTTTGGTTTTCCCTTCATCCTTTGGACTCTAATCTTTTTAATCACTTTTACTTTAAGTCCTATTAGGTTATAACCAAGTGTATTTTATATTCTAAAAACTCCACTTGTAACACTTGGTAAAAATCGTACGGAAATTACCGTTTTTCAGGCTTTTCAGGTAAAATCGTGCTTTACCGAGAAGTCATTCATCTTTCAACTCATTTTTGATTTCTTTTAAGCTTTCACATGGATTTGTAAAGATCAATTAATGTTTCATTTCATTAATATTAATATCCTGAATCTATAGTGTTTCTCATTATTTTAAATTTTCTTTTTATTCGGATAACCGAATTCATCGAAAAAGCTAAAATAGAAAGAACTACAAAATTGAGGATATTACAACTATGCTTTGATTTCACGGTAGATATTGTAATGTTGTTTGTTATAATTACTATGATTTAATTTATGGTTATAATACATAGCTTTCGGTTCAAGGTTTTCTCATACTTATAATTTCTTTTTTCCATTAGTTCAGAATTCAAATCAATGTTAATTACTTTTCTTTTCTTTTTTTTTTTGGCAGAAATTTTTTTCTCTTTGCAATCCCAAGTCCATCAAAATAAGTAATTTATTGCATTGCTATTATATTATGATTATAGAGTTTCCTCTTTGGTTTGTTGATGCATTCCTATAATTTTTTTTTTAATTTTATATGATTATTTTAATTTAGTTAAATTAAATTAAATCTTAATTTAAGTTGTATCTTTCTTTTTTCTTTTTCTTTTTCTTTTTTTTATAAATTTTCATACCATAAAATCATTCATATATCCTTTTTATTCATCTATTGTTTAAAAAGTATTGATTAGGACTTTTAAAATATAATCCTATCTATATTTATCTATGAATTAACTTGCAAATCAATTTTTTAACTTTTAAATCATCTCTCTCTCTCTTTTTTATCTATGGATTGGCTTGCAAATCATGTTTTGAAATTCAAGAGCGCCGACAAGCTAAATGCAAAGCAGCCAATTAATTCTTTGGTTGATTGTACTTTTTTTTTTTTTTTTTTTTTTTATGCTTAATGAGGCGAGGCAGGATGCTGATGCAGCTGATGTGGTGACTGGTATACTTCGCTTTTTATCAATGAATGTTTATGTGTTATTTTGATCCTGGATCATCTCACTCCTTATATTAGTGCTGGGATTTTCTTGCTATAGCATTCTGTTCCTTGTTGCCGATTGGGTAACTGATGTGCTTGTATCCGAGTCCAATTAAGGACAGGAGGTTATTGTAACGAATTATATCCTGATTGCCCACATCATAATCCAAGATCATGTATTTTCGCCTTCTGAAATTTAGTTTGAGATGCCTTTCGGAGATTTTGATTGTTATTTTTGGCATGGATTCGGTTAAAAAAATATCAAGCAGTGTTGATTGTGACTTAAGGAAGATACTATTTAAACTGCAGAATATTATTTGATGTGGGTTTGATACGGGTGAGAGACAGATACTTCCTTCATCTGTGATAACGCAGCTTTTAGCTCAGAAATTGATACCGTCATGGGTGTGGAAAGGCATACCCTAGCTACAATTGTGGACACAAGGGTTAGGTCCCTAGTCTTAAGGGACATTCCTAAACTTGTGTGTGACTTTCCAAGATGTTTTTCAGAAGAATTACCAGGATTGCCGCAGAAAGGGAAGTTTGCATTCGAGATTGAGGTTATGACAGGGACTTCAAACTGGTCAACTTACACACTCCGCCATGATATTTACCACAATGAACACAACTACGAGTAACTGGAGGAGCTCGTGGAGGTGGCAATGGTGGTCTGAACTGTCTCTAGCTCTGTGGCCTCACACTGCTAGATCTAGAAGGAAATGGACTGAAGAATCTCCTCTTTTTACTACTAGAGCTACTAGCCACTGGGAAAGTCCTCCTGACACTCTTCTCCTCTGTAGCCTTTTCTAAATCAACTTTCTCCTGATTCAAAGCTTGTGATACCAATGCAGAAAAATTCTCATGTTCAAAACCGATCACATGACTCTTAATACTGGGCTTCAATCACTGTTCAAATCTCTTGCACCTGTCCCTACCTGTAACTAACATCCTCCCAGCATAATAACTAACATCCGCCCGTAATGACATAATAACTCATCCAGCAGCATTCATGACTTTGATGAACACGATCTTCAAACCTTACCTTGACCAATTTGTTGTGGTTTTTATTGATGACATTCTGGTATATTCCAAAGATAGAGAAGAGCATGATATAGCACTAAGAATCATTTTTCACAACTCTTCGAGAAAAACAACTTTATGCTAAGTTTTTCCCTAAATGTTGAATTCTGGTTAGCTACAAGTTGCTTTTCTTTGGTATATTGTATCTGCGGCAGAGGGTATTGCAGTGGATCCTGGTAAGATTGAGGCTATTTCCAGTTGGAAGCCACCAAAGAATGTTTCCTGTTTCCGAGATTCGTAGTTTCTTGGGTTTGGCTGGCTATTATCGCAGGTTTGTTAAGGGATTTTCTATCATTGCTTTGCCCTTAACTAAACTATTGTGAAAGAACGTTATATTTGAATGGACAGATAAATGTCAGGAGAGCTTTGCTAAGTTGAAGAAGTGTTTGACTGAAGCTCCAATTTTGACTTTACCTCTTCCAGGTAAAGAGTTTACTGTTTATAGTGATGCTTCTTATAATGGATTAGGTTGTGTGTTGATGCAGGATAGAAATGTTATTCCTTATGCATCACACCAACTTAAACCACATGAGAGGAATTATCCTACCAAGATCCACTACAATACCCTCTGCAGATACAATATGACCAAGAAAAGTAACTTGTGCTAACTAGAATTCATATTTAGAAAACTTAGCATAAAGTTGCTTTTTTCAAAGAGTCTGAAAAATAATTCTTAGATGCTTATCATGCTCTTCTATATCTTTGGAATATATTAGAATGTCATCAATAAAAATCACAACAAACTGGTCAAGGTAAGGTCTGAAGATCGTGTTCCTCAAATCCATGAATGCTGCTGGAGCATTAGTTAATCCGAATGGCATAACTAGAAACTCATAATGGCCATAGTGAGTCCTGAATGCCGTCTTATGAATACTCTACTCTTTAACTCTGAGTTGATGATACCCCGATCTCAAATCTATCTTAGAGAATACAGAAGCACCCTTAAGCTGATCAAAGAGATCATCAATCGACTGATGATGAATATCAAAAGATTCTTTCAGAGACACAAGATGGTAAAAGACCAGATTTTTCTGTCAGTAGAGATGGGTTATTACTATTTATTAACTTATTTCGGGACCGGTTTATATGTTCCGTCAGATTTAGATTTGAGACATCTCATCTTGAAGGAAGCACATGATTCTCCATTTTTCTATGCATTCCGGCGGGACAAAGATGTATAGGGAATTTGAAGAGGAACTATTGGTGGACTGCAATTAGGACTCTCCCAGTGCCTAGATAGGAAATAAGCTGGTTTCCTATAAAAATCCTGCAAAATTCCTCAAGATCAAGTAAAATATGATTCAAGTAAGCTTTATACAAAAACATAAATAAAACTAAATAAAAACTATTTAAATTAATTAAAAAAAACTAAAAATCCTAATAAAAACTATATTAAAAATACTATAAAATAACAACTATCATGGATAGATTGACGAAGAGTGCTCATTTTCTACCTGTAAGATCACACTGTAGTTTAGAGAAATTAGCAGAAATATATATTGGTGAGATAGTTAAGTTACATGGAGTGCCAGTATCCATTGTTTCTGATAGAGATCCAAGATTCACATCTAGATTTTGGGCTAGCTTACAGAAAGCCCTAAGGACTAGATTAAATTTTGGTACTGCATTCCATTCTCAGACAAACGGTCAATCTGATAGGATTATTCAAATATTCGAGGATATGCTTTGAGCTTGTGTTCTTGAGTTTGAAGGCAGCTGGGATAAATACTTGTCTTTGATGGAATTTACTTATAATAACAGTTACCATACCAGTATCGGAATGCCTCCATATGAAGCTTTATATGGTAAAAAATGTAAGACACCCTTATGTTAGGATAAAGTAGGTGAGAGACAATTATTAAGTCCTGAAATTGTTCAACAAATGGAAGAAAAGATTAAAATAGTTAAAGAAATATTGAAAGCAGCTGAAGATAGACAAAAGTCATATGTGGGTCTAAAGAGAAGAGATATAGAGTATAATGTGGGTGATAAAGTATTTCTTAAGGTTTGCCCTTGGAAGCATGTTATGAGATTTGGTGGAAAAGGAAAATTGAGTCCTTGCTTCATAGGACCTTATGAAATACTTGAGAAAAATAATCTTTTTCCTCTTGGTAAGGTGTGACATGTATATATATATCCAATATGGTTGTTTCGCCTCATATTTTGTGACCAACTGTGGGAATTCCAATTAAAGATGTGTTTCTGCTTATTTCTGTGGTTATCACATTTTAGATATATACAATAAATGAGTTTTTGAGTGAGATAAACAATAAACAGTTGATTGTAACAATGTAATTGTTTTGTTGATAGTTTCTGCCATTAAAGTTTTATGAATTGAAGTGGTTTTTGTGATATATGGAAGGAAATCATGTCGATTAAATGAACCTTGTGACTGCATAAATCCGATCATCTTAATTCTAAATTATGGTAAACTATGATAGCTTTCAAAGAATGCACATGGGCCAGTGAGAGATTGTTAGATTATTTAATTATTTAATAATCTATATGTGGCCCATGTGATTAAAGGGTTGGTTCTAATTAAGGTGACCCAAGATGAT